TTAAAATTGTGAAGCCTCGTGCTGTTCCGGGAGGCTCCTGAAACAATAATATTGCTCATGAGATGTGTGCCACTGTCTATTTTGCAATGGTTTGTTATTTACCTCTAATACGTAACTTTTTTTTTTTTCAAAAGAACAGGACCAAAGTGACCACGTAGCCTACGAATCTCCGACTAATGTTGACGTATGTTTTTTAAAACACCCTCTATAAAGCAGGTGTCAAAAAATGCCTTTTAATATCTATAAAATTTTATTCTACCTCCATCTCGACCTACTGATGGTGTAGAGGTGGCAACTTTGAAATTCTAAATATTTCTATTACAGATTCTATTCCACAGAAAGGTCAGGTTTTGTGCGAAGTGTTCTTTTAGATTCTCGGTAGATAGCCCTATACAGGCAAAACATCAATTATCAAAAATTTCACGGATCGCTGGTATGAATCCGATTTTAGTGTTATCATGCCATCGTTTAAACATAAATATTCCACTGCCTACTCTAAAGTATGTAATTATGCACTTATCATTCTTGCGCAAAGTCCCACTTTAAAACGTCAGCTTTGTTTAACTTTGTCGCGAACCAATTAGAGCGTTTCCGCTATTTTAGTCACGTATTAGGAGCAACCAAATGTTGTCGATAGATTTAAAACACTTGGAGTAAAAGTTGCTTCTTTCTTGACAAAAAAAAATCGACTTAGAAACTGATGAAACCTGACGTAAATCATTAGTTAGCTTATTGTATATACGAAATGGGTAGACACGACTCTTGTTAGTGGTATCGAGGTTTTTTAAAATCGAAAAAGCTGACACAAATGGGGAAATTAAAAAAAAAAACTCCGAAACTATTCAACATACCCGAATGATTTTTGGTTTGACTTGACTTGAAGACCATACGGAAGCGATGACCAAGGAAGTATGGAATTAATTTTACTCAACTAATGAACATTTTTATTTCTGATTTTTTGAACAGGCAAAATACATATTCTTTTCAAAATCATTTAGGTAATCCAAATCCAAAGATTCCGCTGTGCCTATTATATCTTTGTTGCTACAGAATGGATCGTGTGTCGAAAAGATTGGTGTCCAGGTATTGCTCTCATTTATCCATCCATATTTATTTGGGTTACAAAATTTTTATAGGGTACGTAACTGGAATACCAAATTTTCAGTTGACATATGCATCTAAAATAATTTAGAAACATATTATACCGTTGTACAAACATATACCCATCTGTTCGGGAAGATCGAACAAATAAAATAACCAACCCGTGTTACACGGGCAATGAGGTTATGAGCGCCGGGAAGAAGCGTCTCCGGCTTGCTGGCAATTAATCTTTCGTTTGATTTTTCCTTCGATGTTGTGACAAAGATATTATTAATTTTCCGATTCCTAAAGTGAAAATCTAGTTCCTGCTTTACGTTAAGTGTGACTATCCAAAATTGATTATATTTTTAATTATAAACTCAAGGCATACCATGTTGGCGATAATTAGGTGAAGTCATTAAAGTGTTTGCGAAAACTTTTTGGCTTCTGAATTGCCCAGATGTTGCAAACCGCAACATTAGTTGGTCCTTCGAGCCGGATCAATAGGCCGGAACAATATGCCGTGGAAGGACCAAATACTGTTAAGGCCTCAATTTATATAGTTAACATTTATATAAACTCCATCAAATTAACTTAATTTATAGTCTAAAAGAAACAAAAACCGGGGAGGGTTAAGCAAATTGGCACATATACTATAAGAATTTAATACTATTGGGACTGTAACTGCTTTTTAATATTGACTTTAGACGTTGAGTTAGATATATTAATATTACATTTAGTAAGAGGTAGTAGACACATACTACATGTTCTTGATGTATTATAGCTAATTTTTCTATAAGGGTCGAAGAGAATTTTAATTTTATTTATCTTAATTTATTTATTCATTCGTAATTTACATAAAATGTGCACCAAGGTACGAAGAAATGTGATTTCTTTTTCTCACTCTATAAATTACCCTTACGCAAGATCCATAGCGTCCAAACATCCATAGATCGCATTGCAGTAACAGCAAGAGATATTCATAATTTTACGGTTAACTGACAAAAGTAATGATTATATCCTTTAGTTAATGACCATAAGTAACTGCTTATTGATAATGTGTTGTCTCAACCGCAGCTGAGAATCAATGATCATCATAAAATTAGTGTTCCAAACTGTAACAGCACATTTTACTTCCAAAATGAGCTATAATTTTCTAAATAAATATATGAAAATTATTTTCATTAATATTTTCGAAACAGGTTGAGTGGTTTCAGTAATGTGTAAATATTGAATCTGATTTCAAACTAAAAATATTAAATTTTGGTCAGGAGCCTAATTTTGCAGGGGTATAATTTATAAAAACTGCAATAAGGTTTTTGTGGCTTGTCTTTTAATCTTTTTCTTATAAAATCGTAAATTTTACTACCCATCTTATATATTCATCAAAAATTTGACATTAATAATTTTAGAATCAAACTCAGCATACCAAAATTACTAAACTGTCTCTCAATCTGACATAAATTTATATAGAAATTTGAATAGAAAACCAGGGTTTATTTTGGAGGTAGAATATGCTGTTATCGTTTGCCTAACAATCTTCGGCACACCCTGTATATGGAGGTTAGTGGAAATCCATGGAGCTCCACGGACAATACACCGGTGGAAATACATGGAACTGTGATGGAGACAAGTAGATATGCGGTGGAGATTCGAGATACGGTTTTTAATTAGTTTAGTGCCCGAAAGTGAAATAGTCCTTTCATTAGTCTTTTCACAAACAAAATTCTGCTTTTTTGAAACATAATTCTTAAAAATAAATAACATAAAATGTTGTGCGAAAGAAAACACATTGTTTCTTACATATATGCTCAAATCATTCCTTTTCATATTTCTGTAAAAAATTTCCGCAACAGGAGCAATTTCAAAATTTTGCATCACGCCTTTTTTTTTCAAATGCTTTCTAAAATAGAAAAATATAGAGCAATTTTAGAGGACAGGTATAAAGTTGTATGAAAATCTGTGGCCATTGCTATAAAAACTGTAACACAACAAGTAAATTTACTCGACCATTTCTTAAAAAGAGGTATCGCCACACCACGGTATAGGGCGGTAATAAAAAAACATCAACTTTTAAGGTGTTAAGGTATAATAATTTACGGCTTCGGGTATTTCCACAAACCCCAATTCCAAAGCTGAAAAATCGGTGTGAATTTTTGGATGCGCTTCTTGCTAAGTTCCAACATAATTTGAAAAATCGCTACAAATATGCTATGACTATCAAATATTTAAAAACATTTTCTTTATAACTGCGCACATAACTCCGCTTTCTTTCATAAAATTTTGAAACTGAAGAAAGGAATTATGCAAAAAATATAGTTAAGCTAACATGTTAGCTAAGCGAGGGAAGAGTTGAATTAAATTTAAATACTGGTATGTATGAAAAAGTGGACCCTTTTGTTACCCTAACGTTTCTTTGGTTACCTTGGTATTGGACTGAATTTTTTTTCTGCATAATAAAATGCGTAGTCCACATAAACATACATACTTCCTGGAAATACCTGCGGTGTGCTAAATGTGCCTAAAATACACTTCAGTAAACCCTGCTGATTTTCAATTTTGTATTTTAGGCACCTTCTAAAAAAAAAGCTGCCTGGTTTTCAACTTGTCGTAACTTACTAAAACGACAACAATCACATCATTCTAGGGTCTTGATTAGTTAGTGAATGGTTGTAATTATTCTTTGACCTTTAAGTTGCATCCAAGAGATCGATTGATTGATATAGATCACAAATGAGGATTTACTGTCGTACAAAATCAGTGAGTAACCCCTGGATTTAAGCTAAATGTCAATTTAAGGTAAAAATTATACTGTACGTACATTGTTACTTCTGAGATTTACTTACTAGTTTAATATATTTTGAAATTTGGCGGTTTTTAATTTATCTTTTTTTTTCATTATCGTCCATTAGATACTATATTGAAATTTTTTAATCATTTCAATTCTTTTTTAATGTAAACTAACTCCAAGTGGTGTGACATATCCATTCACAAAACGATAAGAGGAATCTTTAAAAATCAGTTTCCATTTCTAGAAAACAGTTTTTAATACTTTATAAAATAGAGACATGCTTACTTTAATTCTTGCTGCGATTTCAATCAAATACGCATTTCTCGATTTACTTTTATGACATTGATTTTTTTACTATTACATCGGTAAAACGATGAAATCATAATATGTGACATAGCTAACTCAGAAAATGAATATCTCAAAACCACAATGAAAAATACCTAAGTATCGGGGGAAAGTGATTACAACACAAAATGTGACCAGCATTTTTTACAGAGTATATCGGATTATATCCCAATATTTTATATTAATTGAAAACAGTTTGCAAAGGTGCTATAATTATTAAAATGTGTCAGTTGAATATCCCCACCATATCAAAAATATGAAAACAACAAAAATGCATCATTTATTTAATAGCGCAATTGTAAAAAATTCTGCAAACATGTAGCGATAGAGGCTGTAATTGGCCTCAGTAAACAGAAATCACTGTCATAAATGATTCTCTCTCCCCAGTTTTGCAAGTAAAACAATTTTTGGGTTTTGTCAAACTGTTTGGATCGAGTTTAATCAACTTGAAATTGCGGGCCAAATTGCCAGTTATATTAAGCTTTTCCTCATTTGGAATATTGCAGTTTCAGGTCTATGTTTATTTGCCGCCAGAAGTAAACCTGGTGGCAAACAGAGTGGATTCCCTATTTTAATTAAAAAAAATTGTTTTTCTTCTAGATGCTACAATATTCAAACTTATTGTGTCAAACTCAGATTTTGTTTACCACTAAAATTGGCGTAAAAGTAGTATTTTAATTTCAATGCTAGACGTCACATTTTGAAAGTTTAATCATCAATATCTCGAAATCTCCAAAGTGTTATTTTAACATCGCATAACATGTTTTCGTGCCAACCAACTCACCTTCTTTTACTTTACCGACAATTTTTGCCTCTCCATTGAACCCCATTACCGCAAGAACCATCACCCACATGGAAGGGGACATGTTCGCCAGCTAAATACACCACTGTCTAGTCCACAGCAACGACGTCAATAGCACTCACTGCGATTATAATCCTTCAACATAACAAACGCAGATTTTCGCCACTTAAAACTGTCACAGATGTCCGACGAACTAACGCGATAACCGGTGCGCGTATAGAACTCCACCGGACAGCCGTGAGTCGACAAAGCCCTCCTGCAAAGCTTCTGATGAGAGACTGCAGGGAAAAGCTTCGGAAAATCAGGCAATGCTTTCGCGCAAGCGTTTCTGCCCACTTGATAAGTGCCAAGAATAATATATTTGGCGATTCACATTTGTTTATTTCATGCCTCGCGGGTATGTTGAGGTCCTTCGGCAGTGCCGCGGTCAAGACTCTTTTAGTATAATTATTTAATGTTGATGTTTTAAAATGGTTTTAAAATAATTTTTTAGGAAAAATTGTCTTAATCCAAATAATGAGGTTATAGGTTATATAGTCATGTCATTTCCAAAATGCAAAAAGAGCGAGCTACAACGACTATTACATTTGTGAGAAAATATAAAAGATTACAAAGCGATGTAAAACCACCAAAACTAAAGTTTTAGCGCACTGAAGTGTTCTAATGTTTGCAAAGCATTATTCGAAGATATGAAATCTTTGAAACATATAGATAATAACGATTGCTCAGTTGGGTTTGGTCGACCTTTGCTAACGCTGGTTGATACTTGAAGTGTCAAAATGGTGGCCTTTAAAAAAGTTGACCCCACCCAATTACACCACCTTTCAATCTAGCACCACAACCTCTTTGCTCGACTGTTGGGAAACAAAGTTGGCATGTTTTTAGATCCTTAGTTATTTATTATAAAAGTTTTTTACATTTCTAGTGCAGGATGATCGATAAATATCTGTAGTTAATCGAAAGAAATTGGAGTTGAAGAAATTTCTCAACTATTGTATATAAGACTGGTCTTTACATATACTAAAACTATATAACTGCGAAGACCTACAGCGTAAACATAAACATGATGGTTTCAACCTGCACAAAAAAATTAAAGAATTATCTGGAGCAAATAAGCGACAAGCACCATATAGACTGTTTGATAATAACCACCAGCAAGCAAAAGACATCTCTGAGGAAATAGTCATATGGAAAAATTATATCCGAGACTTATTTGCCGACTTAAGAGAAGAGCCATCCACTAGCAATAATAACGAAGGTCCTACCATAATTAAATGTGAACTTGAACGCGCTATCAACCAACTAAAGAACAATAAAAGCCCAGGACCTGACAATATTTACTCAGAAGTTATTAAGTTAATTGATGAAGAAAACTTGGATCTCTTCTTAAAACTACTTAATCAAATATATAAATCTGGTAAAATTCCGACAGAATGGCTGGAATCTACATTCATTCCCATTCCCAAAAAGCCGAATCCTCGTCAATGCAATGACTTTAGGTTGATTAGTCTGATGAGCAACGCCCTGAAGATCCTTCTCAGAATTATCCACAATCGAATCCGGGAGAAATGCGAGCAGGTAATCTCAAGAGAACAGTTTGGATTCAGTAGAGGCATGGGCACTCGTGAAGCACTGTTTAGCCTGCAAGTTTTGGCTCAGAAATGCATGGACCAGCAGAAGAGCCTATATATATGCTTTGTTGACTTCGAAAAGGCATTCGATAGAGTTCCACATACAGGCCTTCTAAACTCCCTTGTCAACGTGGGAATCGATGGAAAGGACATTCAATTAATAAAGAATCTCTATTGGCATCAAATAGCAAAACTAAGAACAAAAAATACTACATCTGCGGAAATAGATATTTGTAAAGGAGTACGACAGGGATGCATATTGTCACCGATTCTTTTTAATGTTTTCTCGGAGGAGCTGTTTAAATTCGCATTAGAGAATATCTCTGATGGAATCAAAGTAAATGGGGAAACTGTCAACAACATAAGATATGCTGATGACACGGTTCTGATGGCCGACACAGACATCGGGCTTCGGAATATTATTGATAGCGTTCAAAGAGCATGCTCACAATATGGGATGAAGATCAACATTAAGAAAACAAAAACAATGGTAATTAGCAAAAATCAGAATATCCCGATTCCATTGCAAATCGACGGCGAAGTCCTAGAAATGGTAAATCATTTTAAATATTTGGGTTCCTGGATTGAAAGAGACACAAACCCCGATTACGAAATAAGGACTAGAATTGAGCAAGCGCGCCAGGGATTTATGCGATATAGGCGGCTCCTCTCTGATTCATATTTGGACCTGGGCCTACGTCTGAGACTGGTACGATGTTACGTCTGGCCTATCCTGTTGTACGGCGTTGAATCATGGACGCTGAAGGCGGCCATGATGAATAGATTGGAGGCGTTTGAACTCTGGTGCTACAGACGAATGTTGAGGATCCCTTGGACAGACAGAATTACGAACGATGAAGTACTTCAAAGAGTGGGTGGTGAGCGAGAGCTACTACATATCATAAAAGTAAAGAAAACATCATACTTAGGCCACCTACTCAGGCACGAAGAGTATGAGTTGCCACGACTGATAGTTGAGGGAAAGCTGGAAGGAAGGAGGGGTTTAGGAAGAAAGCGACTGTCCTGGATGCGAAACATCAGAAACTGGACCGGCCTGAACTTTGAACAAGTAATAAGAACGGCACAGGATAGACAAGCATTTGCCAATGTGATCGCCAACCTTCACTGAAGACGGCACGCGATGATGATGATGATATAACTGCGACCTGTGACAGAGTTGAATGCGACGGGTCAAGTTCTTAACAGTACAGGACTCAGGAATCAAATAAAACCACCTGTGTTTCAGGTTTTACCAAAATAATTTTTTTATTTGTTAGACTTCTGACTTCACGGAACCTCATAGCAAAAAAGTCTGAGAAGGTCAAATCGTATTAACTTAATTAATCACACCACTCAATCGTTAGTTCCATATTGTTTAAATTGGGTTAGTATCATTCTGTACCGCTCTTGACGGTAACCGCCTCTCCGAAGTCGTTTAAATGTTTTTTTGACCAAAATTGGGGTCATCTTCCAAATGCTATGGAGCTCAGTGGGGTTCAGTCCTGAGGCAAAATTCGCCAAATTGAAGTCTGCGAAAGACCGAATGCCTGTCTCGGGTTCTGCTGTCCTTTCACCCTCTGAGGCGATGTTTTGGCCGATCTTGGGTTTGGATGTTGTTGCCTGATTCTTTACCCATCCGATCATCAAATTTGACCACCAAACTTTGAAGAGTGAGGAGCCACCACATTTTTCATAAAATAATGAACAGAAGATGTACAAGATTTTTCAAATCATGAGACACGGAGTCTGCAGAATGTAAGTAACCCTATTCCAAAACACAGAGAAATAACCTAATTCAAGTTCGTCAAAGTTTCTTTTAAAAATTTACAGTATGACGATTGAGAGAGAGATGATCGAGCGAGCTTTACATGTCTTTTTTGTTACACTTCATGTCGGGCTGTCCGGGCTTCATATGGTGATCTAGGCACTCGCGCCATCTATTTGCCTTATTACTAAACATAATTCAAAACATTTGGGAGACTCTACAGAAGATTTTACAGATGTCACTAAAAGAAAATGACCCCTACGGGCCGTTAAAATTTATCCGCGACAATTAAAAAATCGTTTAGTTCTTGAACCGGCATAGCAGATCTACTGTTCCCTAAACAGGCGACTTCATATGTGAAGTGCATAGATGCTTGGTGTTGGTGTATAGATATCATCCCTAAAATGTAGATCTCCTTAAAACTTTGTGAAATTCCTTGTTGTTAGCGTTTTGGAAAACCAACGTTCATCTGGGTAGAATTTCTGTCGCTGTCACATTTATTCAATGTTACGTACAAACGTGGCAATGCAACATTCATATTTTTTTTAATGGTTGTATTCATGTTACGTCTTACATATTTTTGCTTCCAAGGTTCCAAGTAATTATTTCATATAGGGGGATTTTTAAACTTTAGCCAACATAACATAAAGAAAATAACTATTATGGAACCCTCTCTCTCGAATTACTTTTCCGTGTACATTTCTTTTACCGCTTTTGCTAAGGTTTCCCTCTCGATTCAAAATGTTCCGAAATGAACTCCGTCCGCTCTATGTTGTTTAAATCAAAGTAGGTGAACCAGCGCTTCCAAATAACTAAGATTTTTATATACCTACAAAATGAAAATTTAAGTTTGTCGATATGTATATTACATTAGTTACTATTCTGTACTACTATAATTAGATAATTAGATAAACAAAGCAGAATTTTCTGAAAATTCTTAGGTACTCATCCACCATTCACACAATTACCCATAACACAGGTCTACAGTGATTTTGATGTTTCAGAAAGCTGTTTGCTTATTTGTATAGTTTTGGGGGCCCTTTTTCTAAAAAACGCAAAATTTTTGCTCTATCACGCCAAAAAGTTATTTTATTAATAATAATATAATAATACTTCTTTATTTCAATTTGCTGTCAAATGACGTCAAAAACAGACAACAATTAATTAATATAATTATCCAAAATATTCGTCAAGTGTGTATGGTTCTAGGCTTATTGACATTTCCCTAATACTTTTCTTAAAATTTCTAATAGTGCTTATACATTTCACAGAGTGCGGTAGGTGGTTAAACATCTTGTTGATGCACATATAATAAGTTCCTTTTTCTGTTATTGACAGTCGGCTACTAGGTTCCATAATATTCTGGGTTCGAGTGTTATAATTGTGTATTATGTTTGCGTTAAATTCATTTCTATTTTTAAATATAAATATTAGACATTTGTAGATATAAATTCCACATACGGTCATTATCTGTAGTTGCTTAAAGCATCCTAAGCAAGAGTCATTGTACTGCATTTTTCTCATCGATCTTATGGTTCTCTTTTCAATAATAAACACTTTTTTTAGTTCAGAACTACAACCCCAGAATATTATGCCATACCCTACAATAGATTCAAAATTGACACAATAAACAGTTCTTAAGGCTTCCCTTCTCATATACCTTCCGATAACTCTAATTGCATAACCTACCCTATTTAATTTTGTACATACTGTCCGTATATGCGTTTACCATTCTAAATATTCGTTTATGTGAACCCCTAAAAACTTTGTAATCTT